GGAGGATGAAACTATCATAGTATAAAAATATGAAGCGATTAAACACAAAATACAAACTAAAAAGAAGACAGCTGCTGTTTGGATGTGTGTGTGCTTTAAGCAGCAGCACTGGAAACACCTATATTTATACAGTTCAGCTGTTTGAAGCAGAAATGAGGAGACTTCTCAATATCTCAGCTGCATAATTCAGACACTGGAGAATCTGTTGGCTCATAACACAGAAGATCATTAAATTTATGTTTAAATGACAGTTATTCTGTCACAGCTCACAGCTCACTTCTACACACAGCTCAAGGCTGTTGTGTAGAAGTAATACGTCTTAACTACAAGTAAACAGTATCAATAAGAGTATTGAACAAACAGCGCCACTGAGTCAATGCCAAGTCAGACTCATCTTCTGAACTGAGGAGTCAGAAACATGTCCTAGTTTACTGCCGTGTTTTATTTCCATATCTCAGTCTCAGTTCTTGTTTCCCGCTGATGTACACATACAGAATGTAAGCTGTGCAGCATCATAGATGCTTTATAGCAGCGGCCCTCAAACTAGGGTCCCCAGACCCCCGGGGGTCCACGAGCCATTGACTGGTTGTCTATGAAAACACGTCATGGCAATAAACACATGTGCATCATCTGGGGTTGAGCTAATTAGCACAGAGGACAAACATTTATTCATCGAGTTATGCAAAAGCAAACCAGCTAAAATGAGAACGCATGACAACAGTTGCATCGAATCAGCTTCATCGAGGATGATGATGGAAGACCAACATTTGTTGTGTCTTTGTGCGACTCCTTTCTTTCCTCTGTGTTATTTCTCATTATTACACATAACTACTTTTATGGACGTCTGTGCTTTGATTTCTTTGAATGTGGATTGGATGAGCTGTTACCAACATCTGGTGAGAATTTGATGTCAATAGCACCTTTAGAAATATATTGGTGTTCAGTACTTGTTTTACCCCCTGTGTAACTTTAGTTCTTGGTCTCTAATTTCTTCTGATTTCCTTTTTATGAACACTGAATCAGGAAAGCTGCATCCTCCTGCTCTGCTTCTCACAGAGAGCAGTATAATAGTAGCATAGCTCAGCTCAGAGCCCACATTAATGCCTCACAGAGTTCAAGTAGCAGCAGTGGCGTGTCCAGCGCCCAACCAGACTGGCCACCCCAGGTGCCACCCCAAAGGCAAAACAATAAAATTCAATCAAATATCAAATGTCCGATTATGTTTTCACGGTGAAGCTCAGATATCCGAGTGTAAGTGAATGCAGCATCGGCTTCT